ATATATATATATGTTGTGTGTGTGTGTGTGTGTGTGTGTTCTTCTGTGATGCATGTAGATTTCCCTCCTGGACATTGTTTGTAGACTAATTAAAGAAAATAATTTTAAAAAAAAATTTAATTTAAATAAAATGTTAATTTTCTTTTTATATAAAGTATTATTTTTTATTTAAATATTCTTTATTTAATCTTTTTTTTGTTGCAAAAAATGTGTATTTTTAATTACATGAAAAAATAAATGACTTTGTAGTCATTGTAGTCTTTTCTCAGTAAATAACGGTGTGCATAGGCCTATTTCACAATATGGCGACCGAGATCGGAAGTAGGGTAGCGGTACTTCCGGCCGCGCACCACTACGATCGCCATTCATAATCATAATGGACTGCGAGCAACTTGTTTTCTCCCAGTCGATAAATTATCTGCCAAAAGTCAGAATAGCAGATGTTGTCCGTTTTGTTTACAATTTGCAGGGAGATGTGAAAAGATCCAAATTGCACAAAGGCTACAAATTCTTTTTTGAGCAATTTATTGTTGATTATCAGGGTATGAATAATGAGCCAGTTGCCATGACACTGCTTTTTTTAACTGATTACTTTTATGGTTTTATGGATGATTTTCAAAGCGGTTAAATAAAAACTCATTTATTGTTAACTGTGTGGGTTTGAACACTTCAGTCTCAAATATTATTGCAGGGAAAGTGGTAATTATAGGGTCAGATGTTATATAGGTCGTTAAGAAAGCATGAGGAACCACATCAGCTCGAGGTAACTTAAATACATACAGGATTTAGTTCATGTTGAATAGTACCTTTTTGATAACAAATTGGTTTTCAATGTAGCCTATTAGTTATCTCACAGTCCATAGCAACAGTAACTGAATAATCTAGTAAGGAAGCACCTTCGGCAGTTAGGATTAAAACAAAAGAGAATGGGATTCAACATGCTTTTCTGCGCTTAATGACATTATTTATGTAGTAATGGTCATTTTAACCTCTGAGCAGTGTTCAGGGTATTTCAGGACCTCAAATGACATTTGCTTGAATAAAAAAAAATTAAAAAAGTGTTCCCCTCATCTAAATGACATGACACTTGATGACTTTTTTTACACTTGCTACACACACAAAAAAGAAAAACAGAAATTGGAATGTCTGATTGTACATTATTGTAATAGTCACTCAGGATGTTCATCTAGTCAGTGTCTTTAGTTTAAATGCCACGTTATTTTAATTTTAAAGGTGTTTTCCAGTAGATGACAGTAATCTTTCACTAAACTATGGAAGACATTTTTCATATCACCATGAATGAAACCAAGAAATTTAGATATTCTTTAAAATCAACTCTACATATTTATTTTGTATAAACATGTAATACTTTTTTGTTTTTAAAAAATTGAGGCAAAAAAAAAAAAAGTTTAAACAAAAATACCATACCAACTGTATAGTAAAAACATTAAAGTGAGTGATATTACAATTCATGATTGTTATAAAATCATATTTTACTAAACAGCCACAGTGTACACTCTGAACAGCTCACAATGGTTAAATAAAGATGTGAAATATATATGTCTTTCTATCACTTTCTTCAGATTACACTTGAAGCCAACACTCCACTTCAAGTGGCAGCATATACAATGCTCTTGTGCTGCTGGAAGAAGTTTGTGCAACCATCTGGTTACTTTACCAGACAGCACATTTTAGTACAATTGGAACCAAAAATGTTCCAGCTGCCCTTGCATGCACAAGCAAACAGCAGGCCTGGCATAGGCTCCGAACCCAGGTAAATATAAATAAATAAAGACAGAAACCTCATTCGTCAGTTTTTAACAATTTTAATTTGCCAACCATTAACAAATAAAATTAATTTAAAATGCATAATGTGCAAATCAGAGTGCAATCTAGTGCAAGATATACATGTTTTGTCAGTGCATCACTCCCAAACCAGTCGATGAGCTTGTGGTGCGCAAACCGAAAGCCTCTGGTAGGAGCTCTGTGCAGTCTACTCTGTACAAAGCATATGGAGGCGATATCCAAATACTAATAAAACACATTTTCACATTAGGTAACAATTAAAACACTGAGGCATGAACTTTTTTTAGAACCTTTACCTGACAATGATGTCATTGCTGGAGCAGCATCCCTCATTTCCCGTTGTCCACAACCACTGATAGCGAAGATAGTTGATGGAATGTCTGCTCTAACCATGGTGTCTTCTAAATTTGGAGAGGTCCCAAAAGGATCACTGCTGTCATACCAGTGTCCAGCTGTGCTGTCAAAGGATGTACTTACAAATCCAAATGCTCCACAATTCCCCCCATTACCTGTCCCACAATACAAGCTTCCACCATATAATTTCGTCGCTGGCAGCTGCGCTGAACTCCTGCATATGCAGAGTCTGGAGGTGACATCTGAAATGACAGGGATCATTGAGGAGGGAACACGTGATCAATCAAAAAGCCCACTATGGGTTAGAATGCATTGCCCTTGACTTACAGCAAGCAAGTTCTATGAAGCAGCTCATGTGAGGTCCGAATCCACTGCAATGACACGGGCTGGCCGGATCATTAAAGGTGCCCCCCACACCAAAGCAATGCATCGTTTCTGCAAAGATATTTAACAAGTGATTTGTTTAACATTTACATCATGTTGACAACTGTGTGCTGCACTTGGAATATAATTTCTTTAACTAGAGGGTTAATAAAGAAAAAGTTACTTGAATCATGTTGTAGTTACATTTTCAAGTTGACTAGTTAAAAATTGTAAAAAAAATCGAGAATCGGTCAAATGTCCTGAAAAAATCGATTTTTCAATTTTTTGACAAATCGCTCAGCCCTAGCTGAGACCTTTGATGTTAATGTTCTTCCATCTGGTCTCATCATCCACCCAGATGCTCCACACCTTAGTGCAAGTCCAGATGGCAAAGTGGTGCACCCAAATGAAGAACCTTCCTATGGCCTGGTAGAAGTTAAGTGCCCTGATGTGAAAGACATTGGAGAGGCATCACACATTGAATTTGTTGGGGGCCAAGCAAAACTAAGAAAAACACACACCTACCATTGGCAAGTCCAAGGTCAGCTGATGGTTACTGGCTTAGCTTGGTGTGATCTGGTGACAAATACAAGGGGTGACTTCAATGTAGATAGGGTGTGTAGAGACGATGAGCTGATCAAAGAGATCAAGGCTAAAGTTGATGAATTCTACTTTAGCACATACATTGATGTTTTGCTAGGAAGAAAATAGGCAAAACATCTTTTTACGTTCAACAGAACAAATTCGAAACAACTTGAGTGTGAGTAAATGACACATTTCATTTTTGGGTGAACTACCCCTATAAGTCATGCTTCAATCAATTGCATTAAAAGTAAATAATGTTCCTGTAGACTGCGTGATTTTTTTTATAACTTGTAACCATTTGATTTAGATGAAGCTTTATGATAGGTCTTACTCAGATCTTTATTTCCAAATATTGAAAATATATTGTTGTAACATACCTATCTTAAACTGGAAAGATGACATGTCAGGAGGGGTTGATGTGTTCAGAATCTGAGAGGATACTGCAGATCACAAGTAAAGAGTTAGATTTTTATTAAAATTGTATGTTTTTATTTATTTATTTTAATTTAGTTATTGTATTAGTTAACGCTACACTCACCCGGGGCTGGACGGCTGTTGTAATCATGCACCAGCACTCTCCATTTCGACATCTACTGCTTTCTCTGCACCACGAACACCTCCTTTTGATGTCCGAGTCTAGCGTGATTTAACTTCTCCCCAACTGTTCCACGCAAACCTGGAAGGCACAGCCTTACGACCGGACTCTGGATGGACACGGACCTCATCTTCCGTGAAGTGCTTAACAGTTAGCACAAAAGTGCTAGTTTTCCTCACAGTAAATGCCGCCCCATCTTTTCTCCGTATGGCCCAAATCCAACGCTTTCTTACATTTTCGTCGATGGGAAAACTATGAAATGATAAGTAAGGTTGCTTTTTCTTTGAATTAGAACACAAAGGTACACTACACGACTGATTACTTTTGGACTCCGCCATTGTTCGGCTAGCGCTTTCACCGGAAAATATTTGTCCCTACTTCCGGTTTGCTTACGTCACGTTGTGAAATAGGCCTATTGTCATGGTTTTGAGGGTTTAAGGTAGTGAGAACTTCACGCGTCACGTGTGCCTTGATAACCAATCACATTATAGCCTGGACGTCATTGAATTTCAGTCAGAGTTGTGCGACACTCAATCGCCGTTTACGGATACCGTAGGAATATCAGAGACTCTGTGAATAAGAAAGCTGTAAGAACTTAGAAAAAAGTTTGTGAACTTTACAATATATTTATTTGATTTTATATATACGTACAAGTGTATGTATGTATGTATATCTTGTATTTTTGTTTTGAAGTTTTATACTTTCCTCCCCCTGGCAATTGTTTTTTTGTTTGTTGTAATTTGTTCTTCTATCTTTTTCTTTTCTTATTTTAATGTTGTTTTATTGTGTGTTATTGTTCCTTGAATAAAAAAAAAAAAAATAAAAAAAAAAGGATACCGTAGGAATGAATGAGAAGTGCCGTAAGCTGTTTCGCACCTGTCGCAAAAAGTCAGTGACTTCTCTTATAAAACGACATTTTTTTCGATGTAAACTCTAAAAATAGTTCAATCCAAAACTACTGCTTAGTGTAAAACATGTTAAAGATTAGCCGATAGGCTGTCAATTCATTAAATGACAAGTTGTTTCCTCAAAAAAGCTGTTTATTCTGCGCAGTGAAGCCTCTAATCTATTGACATCCATTCAAACAAAACGGCCTCAGGTCTCCTTCCCTGCATACCGCCAAAGCGGAAGCGTTTGCCATTACGCTTTTTTTGGCTAAAGGTTGCAGGCTTGCCTTCCAGTGGCTTTGGTAATGCTTCACAGTCTGCTGTGTCATGTTTAGAAACACCAATAGGGAAACGGCACAGTCATGAAATCATAGTTCATATTTAGATTCTCACAACACAGGAACATTTTTACATTTTTCTGTGCATCTCTTGTTGAATTATTAGACTGGAAAAGAAGCCTGGTTGTTACCTCACAAGTAGTAATTCATAAAATATATCCTTTTATATCTTTATATAGGTAAGCACCTTGATTCTTGATTCAAAAGCAAAAATTCTCTAATTCGCAGCCTCCTTTCTCACATAAATTAATTGAAATTGAAGCATTCCTTAAATCTTAGGTTGATTAAAAACAAGAAAAGAAATATATATATATATATATTTCTTACATATTATGATTGTTTTGGTAATACCACAGATGCATAAGGTTTCCCTCTGTGTGTGTTTATTATTATTATCATCTTATTTTATTCATTTATTTTGTAGGTGAAACTTTAAAAGGTGTTACTTAGTTTATCCTGTAGAGGTTCTATATGTTCTGCCTTTTATGGATGTTTAATGTTTTATGCATAATAATAATAATAAACAGAAACATTTTTATCTTTATAAGACTTAATACATTTAAAATATATACTTATATAAACACTTTAACCCTATAAACAAACGGATTCAAACAACTTGTTATGCTGCCTGGTCACACTGTGGGTTTGTTTAAGCTCATGTGACTCGCATTGCTCTGTCATGAGAGACTGCTGAGATTTCTGAGTCGAGAAAACGTCCAGTCATGGTTAGTATAAGCATGTGGTACTACCTCAACATTTTCACTTCCCTTCTGGAATCCAGTGACTCAGATGGGAAGGAGAACGTATAAAAATGAAGTGAGGCGGTCAGGGAAGTCAAAGCCACAGTGAGCGCTGGGAACACAAGACAGGACTGATCTACAGCCAGACACACAGCAGGACAGCTGCAGCACAAGTAGGAACATGACAAAACTTCATTTATTAATCTGTTACAGGGCACAAAGGTGATTTGATAACAAATATCTGTTGTTTTAGGGATGGAGTCCATGAAAAGCAAACCAAGAGAAGCCACTGGCAGGTAAAATGCTTTGTATTGTCATTAATTTCATAGTGATTACGAATGCATTTCAAGCCTGAAGTAAATCATATCAAAAATACGAAGCACTCATGTGTAGCAATGGCAGATGTATGGATGTTGCAGTGCTAGATATAGGCTCAGACAGTGAGTCAGTGATTCATAAAAGCTTCAGTATTAAGAAGCTTATCTATTTAGTGAACTACTTGTGAGGGATTGTGGCATTATAAAAAAAAATATGATTAAATTTAATTAAATTAATTTTCTCCAGTGATCTGTCTGAGCAGATAAAAGCAGCCACCAAAGACAGTCACGTTCGAGCTGAGAACACACAACTGATGCTCAACTACCAGAAAGGACAGATCACGCAAACACAGTACAAGGTAAAACTACAGAAAATCAATCAAGTTAATTAGATTAACTATTATATATGAAGCAATAACGGGAATGTTTAAGAAATGTTTTTAGAACATTTAAATATGAACAAACAAAAGGTTCCAAAAATGATCATGAAAGTACTAACATGGCAGTACTATGGTTTTAAATTCATTTAAAATGTAAAATTTAAATATGCCATGGTAAAACATTGTATGCAAATACCTTAGAGTAGAGCCCTGCATTCCAGCCCGGGTCCGACGGGCCCCGACTTTTTTACGCCCCTCGGGCCGGGCTTCAGGCCAGTTTTCAGGTCATAGTTCAGACGCGGGCCGGGCCTCGGGCCTGTTTTAGGCTTCTCCTTATTTTTTATATTTTAGATATCCATCAATTAGTGATGCAAAAAATTGCCGCGCTGGTGGAAACAACACGAGACCGTGCTAGCAACTCGACAGTGTTTAGTGTCCTGCCAGCAGCAGTATGGTGCAACTGAACAGTTCTGCGTTCAAATGCATGCAATAGGCTGAAGTTTGCCGTAAAGCACCGGCAAAAATAATTACCATAAATGTGACAGGGAGAAATAGTAAGGAGATATTGGAGTTATTTACTAATAAACTAGTGTTTTCTGAGTCGGTGGCAAGGACGAAGTTGCCGATCCTGACTCGCCATCTCCTCAGACGCGCCTTTAGAGAGAAGTGCATCTTTACGGATTATGATTATAATGAAAGAGTTTTTGTTTTTGATTTGTTTTATTTCATTAAGTAGTTATTTAAAGCTTTCTATAGATATATTTATCATGTCTGTGAGGCATGTATTCCCTGAGTTTCGGTTCATTTTTGTGAAGTGCTCCTGTTCAAAACCGAGACTGCAGAAAGCGCATCGTGTTTGATTTCTTTATTTTATAAAAGCACAACGTTTTGATGATATTGTGAATACACACAAATAAAAGTAGACCCTTTACAGTTACGAATTATGTATTACTCTTACCTTTATGAGCAAAAATGACGGCGTATCCACTGAAAAAAAACGCAAGTGATCGCGCTGGTGTCTCTATGTCCTGCAAAGCGCGTTTTAGCTTGCACTCTCCGCACAAACGATTGGATACAGTGCACATTTATCTAGGTTTAAAATGTAAACATTGTTATAATTTTAGGCAATGATTTGAGAAGGCTAAATTGATCAAACATAGGCTATGATCAGCTCACGGTCTGCCGCTGGCCGCTACTTTAAAAAACAAAAACTTATATTTAGCAAGCAAAAAATGCTCCAAACGTTTTTTTTAAATTAACTTCATAAAAAAACGAAACGAAATATAATCACTTTGTTAGAGCAAGGTCCTACATAAGTACCATGGTAATATAGTAACAAATATAGTAATCATTCAGTGCTATGGTATATATCGAAGTACCATAGTAATACAATCTAAGGGCTGATAACTGATTATTTTATTTGATTATTCAATTTACTGGATAAAAATATCCGCATTTTATTTCCTATAACTTATTGAGGGGAAAACATATTTTGTACCATTGCTGATTATTATTTCTATTTATTTATTTTTTTGAGTTTCTTCTGTTTAACAAAATACATTTGGAATCATTTTGGTAGCCAAACGGTTTCGGGTAGCCATTGACTTTTATTTTTATACTATGGAAGGTAAAGGCTACCAGCAACTGTTTGGTTACCAACATTCTTCAAAATATCTTCTTTTGTGTTCAACAGAAGAAACTCATACAGATTTGGAACAACTTAAGTAAAGTTGTGCGAGAAAATTATGCCAGTGTTTCCTTT